ATAATGAATATAATAAAAATTTTATCATGTATTTTAATCCTAAACATTAAAATGTGTTTATCACAAAACTGTTACAATACTAATCAAGATCATTGTCATTGTGGACCAGTGGCCATACCTTTTGGCGCCGATATCTATACCATAAATAGCAATAACCAGACAATAATTGGCAACAAAAGTATTTACGAAAACAATATTAAAGTGCATTACGTTTGCAGAGATGAAAACGCTATACTAATGGGCAATAAAGTGCGGCAATGCTATTACGGCCATTGGACGGGTGATGTACCCCGATGTGGTAATAATCATAAATGCCTTAATTAATCATTACTAACTATGTTAATTTATTTTAATAGCTATTGCTTACGATCAAAATATTTATCGCATGAATAAATACAATAAAACTCACATAGTTTATACAACAAATTTAACCAATTCAACCAGTTCTGGAAACGACAATGAAATTATCCAAAAATTATTCAAATCACCTATCTACTTTGTGCCCCACAATCAATGTTTGCCAATGGATGCGAGCCAGTCATTCAATTATTTTTTTACAACACTGTTACGCGCGGCCAAAATTGCACATGTACGTTTGCGCATTTTTTCAAATTTGGTGAAAAAATTTGGATCAAGTGGATTGGACTTAACATACAGGATGCTTTTTACAAAAACTAGTTTTGGACAACCCGAGTGTATTTGGTCGGCCACTGACTTGACACAGACCAGCGATGGCTATATGACCGTCGAGTTTGACTGCAATCAAACAATAGGTGCTGTCAAAAATTTTAAGTTTATTGTGTTTGGATCGAACACTTTCAGTGATTTTTCAACAAAACCCTCGGATCTAGATTTTATGATTTGCACCATACAGGTTTTTCACTTTAACCTCAATTGTGGTCAACCGGATAAACCTCTTGGTATGGATGTGCTGATGAATAGCACCGGTAATGGTGTTTATAAATACAAGTGCAATGACGATAGATATACGCTATATGGAGCCCATACTGTTGAGTGCGGTCCCAATGGCCAGTGGCTAAACCCCTTTCCCCGATGTGTACCCAAAACATACTGTAAAACATCTGATATTGATATACAAGTAAACACTGGTTTAAGGATTAGTTATACTGAAAAGATTATGGTTAATGATGGTAATCGGGAAATAATATACGTGCCAAATGGCTTATTCGCTAATCTATCATGTGAACAATACAAACAACATTATGGTAATTATAATAACATAACTGTTAATGAAAACAGGAGGTATGAAGTGATCGGTCCGACAGAGATATACTGTAATAACAGCCAATGGGTTGGACTGACCACAACTGGTGACAATACAACCTCTGTTTGTGTGTTTGTCAACAATACTGAGGTTTTAACTGAAGAGATAAAAATACAGTCAAACCCTTTGACTCTGATCTATACATTTACTGCAATATTATTGTTGTGTATAATAATAATCATTACATTAATTGTATTCACGATTAAGTCTCATAACAAGAGGGCAGAGAAGACTAGGAATGCGAGAAAAGCAGTGCTCAGTATATATGATGACAGTCTATCTGTTGATCCGGATTTAGACAATGTTTATGAATATATAAATGATCAACAGATCCATGAATACGACACCATTACAGCGCCAGTCGATAAACATGAATACTTAGATTTGAATTAGAAAACACTAAATATAGACTAGTTATGAACTTGACCATGATTAAATATATTGTTTGAGAGAGAGAGAGAGAGAGAGAGAGAGAGAGAGAGAGAGAGAGAGAGAGAGNAGAGAGAGAGAGAGAGAGAGAGAGAGAGAGAGAGAGAGAGAGTTATATAATTAATTGTCAGAGATAAATCCGGTGAATTAATAGGAAATGCCTTAACATTTAACATTTGTTTTTAACATTAAATAATTTTATTACTGTAAAGTAGTATCTCATATCGTGTATTACATATTGTAAAATATAATGAATATAATAAAATTATTGTCATTTATTTTAATCCTAATTATTGAAATATGTTTATGTCAAAACTGTTACGATATTAATCATAATCAATGTTATTGTGGACCAGTGGCCATACCTTTTGGCGCCGATATCTATACCATAAACAGCAATAACCAGACAATAATTGGCAACAAAAGTATTTACGAAAACTATATTAAAGTGTATTACGTTTGTAGGGATGAAAACGCTATACTAATGGGTAATAAAGTGCGTCAATGCTATTACGGCCATTGGACGGGTGATGTACCTCGATGTGGTAATAATCATAAATACATTAATTAATCACAACTAACCATGTTAATTAATTTTAATAGCAATTGCTTACGACAAAGATACTTATCGCATAAATAAATTCAATAAAACCCACCTAGTTTATACGACAAATTCGACCAACATAATAAACGACACGGAATATATAGGCGAGAGGGATGTCATACGACAAATACAGTATCGAAATCACTGCTTACCAATTGATACGGACAGGAATCTGGCCTCTTTTTGCACAATAATTACCACGACCAAAATTGTTTACATACGCTACCGAATATACTCAAACATGTTGAAACAAATTGGGCCCCAAGGGTTGAGCTTAGTATTTATCGCAAAAGTTACCGCATTGGGTTACGGCCGACATGATTGCATTCGGTCGGCCATTGACCTGACACAGACCGGTGATGACTATATGACCGTCGAGTTTGATTGCAATCAAACAAAATATACGGTCGCAGAAAAAATTATTTTGTTTATCTATGACATAACCGAAAAACCACTTAACCTAGATTTTATAATATGCAAAGTAGAGGTTTTTCACTATAAATCCGATTGTGGTCAACCGGATGAGCCACTTGCTATGGATATAATGATGATCGGTTATGGTAGATATAAATACAAGTGTAATGACAATACATATACGCTATACGGAGCCCATACTGTTGAGTGCGGTCCCAATGGCCAGTGGCTGAACCCCTTTCCCCGATGTGTACCCAAAACATACTGTAAAACATCCGATATTAACATATCAACAAACAATGGTTTGGAGATTAGTTATACTGAGAATATTACTGTTAATAATGGTAATCGAGATATAGTATACGTACCCAATGGCCTGTACGCTAATCTATCATGTGGTCAATACAAACAAAATGATAAAAATTCGACGCGTAATGAAAAAGGGATGTATGAAGTGATCGGACCGACAGAGATATACTGTAATAACAGCCAATGGGTTGGACTGACCGACGAATACGACAATACAACCACTGTTTGTGTGTTTGTCAACAAAACTGAGATAATGTTTAACACATCGGCACTGATCTATACATTTACTACAATAATATTACTTTGTATAATAATAATCATTACATTAATTGTATTCACGATTAAATCTTACCACAAGAAGAGGAGGAATGCGACAAAACCAGCGCTAAATATATATGACGACAGTCTGTTTGTTGATCCGGATTTGAACGATGTTTACGAATATGAAAATTATGAACAGATCTATGAATACGACACCATTACAGCGCCCGTCGATGATTATAAACATGTTTATTTAGATTTAAATTATAAAGCACTACATTAATGTTCCAATGGCATTATGGTATTCCGATGGAATACCAAGGAAATATAATATTATAGTTTCAAAAATCTAGTTTTTTAAATACATTTACACTTCCGGGAAATATACCCTTTATGGTATTTTTATAAAATGAAAAATTATATAAATCTTATGTTTAAAATGTTATAATAATAATTGTTAGCATATAAAATATTGTTATTATTTAAATATCTGACAGATGTTTAACAAATATTATATAAATAACTATGAATTTAATAAATATGTAGCGAAAGCGAGTCAACGCCAAAACAGAGTGTGGAAAGTCTCCTGAGTTTCCCTTTGAATGTTTTGTTTAAAGTCTAATATTTTATAGTTTTATGATATTTCCCTAATGTTTTACTACTGTATAAATCCCTAACCCTTAAGCCACAAACGTGTATATAAGCCCTGCTTTGTGTGCATTGAAGTCAGTCTCAGTTTGGGTTTCACTCAATAAACGTTGTTTTATAAGAGAGCCCATTGTGTCGTCTCTCAGACTCCGCGTCGGCATCGGGTGGACGGATCCGGAGGAGCACTCCGTAGACTCCGTGCGTGAGTACACCCACAGAGAGCACCTGTGGCCACCGCCCAACATGGCTGGTCGGCATTCCCCGCCTGGCCCTGTCGATACCGCCGCCCCCGGAAGAGATACGCCCTCACCGGTAGGTCAGGTACACCCCGTTGTGGGCCCTGACAGGAGCGACACACACACGCAGGGAGGACCTGAGCGGAGAGGATCCGCACCCCATCTCAGGACCAGTGAGAGCCCAGCGCGGGGTCTCTCACGTCGACATCGTTGCGCGCCTCACACTCACTGGCCGGCCATTAGTGCTCCACTATTGGCCGCCAACCGAACCTACCCCTGGACTGAAGACCCCGTTACTCGCATTCAGCACAAATATATTAATCATTATATTAACCACAGTTACAGACATGTGTTTAACGCAAAACTGTTACGATATGAATGAAAATAAGTGTAATTGCGGAGCAGTAGCCATACCATCGGACGCTCATGTCTTAACCTCAACCGGATCTAAACACACGAGATATTCGGGTAATACTTATTACAAACACAACACTAAAGTGTTTTATGTCTGCGAAGGAGGAACTGAATTAGTGGGCAATAATGTACGGCATTGTTGGAACGGATACTGGATCGGTGATGTACCTAGATGTGGTTAGTTATATGCTCTCTCTCTCTCACCTATATAATTAACCATCTAAGTTAGCACTGTTTTATATAAAATATAAATATATTATACCCTGAATATAGCCATCAAACATTCTGGTGTCACGACTTATGGCATTAATAAAATTCAAATAAAAACATCGCGTTTTGCGAATGAAACTGAAAATATTGATAACAACTCAAAACTATTAGATGAGAACCGATTGCCGGCGCCCGACGGCTGTAAGCCATGGGATACGGATGGCTTGAGACGCGTGTTTGGCACAGATCTAGAGGGCAATTATGGCGTCGATTATATACGGATCAAAGTCTATTCAGTGGCGTTGAAAACACGCCGACAACATGCGATTGACTATAGATTTAGGGCATCACTGAATAATGAGGTGCAAGAGTGTCGACTGTCCCGTACAGACCAGTCGGCGGCGGCCGATGGCTATCTGGGCGTTGAGTTTGAGTGCATTCATCGCAAACAATCGCCGAATCAACGCATTTACTTTGGCGTCGGTTTTGACGGCGAGTCACAAGATTTATACCGTAACTTTCAACGGATAGCCGACGACTCGGATCTTTCGATATGCGATCTAAATCTGTATTATTTTATTGATTCTTGCGGTGAACCCGACAGACCCCTCGTCATGGAAGAGGTTATTCCACGTGGTTATGGTTTTACTAAATATAGCTATAAGTGTAAACATAATTATACGCTATACGGGCACCAGACGGTTAAGTGCGGTTCCAATGGCCAGTGGCTGAACCCCTTTCCCCGATGTGTACCCAAAACATACTGCAAAACATCCGACATTAAGGGTATGACAACTGATAATAGTTTAAATATTATTGCCGCCAAAAATATTACGGTTTATGATGGAAATTTGGACATTGTATATGTGCCAAATGGCTTAAATGTTAAACTATCATGTGGACAATTCAATAAACATAATAACTATACAAAGGATAATGGTAATAAGAATGGAGTTTATGTATTGAGAGGTCCAACAGATATATACTGTAATAATAGTCAATGGTTGGGACTAAACACCATTCGTGACAATATAACCACTTTTTGCGAGTTTCTCAACAAAACAGAGGTTTTGACTGAAGGGATAACAAGTCCTTCCACTTCATGGACACTAATTTACACATTTTCTACAATATTAGTATTATGTATACTAATAATCATTACATTAATTGTATTCACGATTAAGTCTTACCATAAGAAAAGGGAGGAGAAGAGGAAGAATGCAGCGAAACAGGAATTTAATATATATGACGACAGTTTGTCTGTTGATCCGGATTTGAATACCGTTTACGAGTATGAAAATTATGAACATATTTATGAATACGACACCATTACAGCGCCCGTCGATGATTATAAACATGATTATTTAGATTTGAATTATAATGTACAACATTAATAATCTATTGCCTGCATATAAGATGTCATAAATTTAAATGTAATCATAGAGAAATTTTTAAATGCCAATAATTTATCTAACATAGTTTCATTTTGGTAATATCTAACAATCGCTGTAAATAACTATTAGAGATTCAACAATGATATGATATAAATAATAAATTGTATTACAATTATTAGGACATTAAACGATAAAAATGAAATAAAAACATTAATAATTTTAAAATATATTACTAGTATAGTAAGTAAAATATTAATTAAATTTAACTTTTACAAAAATACATCCGGAATTATATCATAATCATTTTGTAGGAAACGACATAAATATTTCTTTTGAGGATTTATAATTATATTTATAATATTATAACAGAAAATGTAAATTAATAAAACATTTTATGTAAATAATTATGAATATAATAAAATTAGTTATTTTTGTTTTAATAATTTTTATTGATATCTGTTTATCACATATCTGTTACGACTTGAATGAGAAGCAGTGCTTTTGTGGGTCGATAGCAATACCTCCCGGAGCCCACATATATACAGTCGCTGACAATAATCAGACAATTATTATCAACAATAGTATTTACGAACACAATATTAAAGTGCATTATTTTTGTGCGAACAATAGAGATCTATTAATTGGCAATAATGTACGGCACTGTCGGTACGGCCACTGGGCTGGTGCTGTACCCCGATGTGGTCAGTAGTACGCTCTCTCTCTCTCTCTCTCTCTCTCAACTGATATTAATAACTGTTAAAAATTCATATGAATAGCAATCGCTTACAACAGAAAAACCTATCGTTTAACTAAAGGCAATGAATCGCAAACTACGACAACAATAACAACGCGACCGAGTGTTGGATACCTATTACCTGAAAAACCCGTTGATTGTCTGCACTGGTATAGCGATGGCTCTGTCAGTTCCCTTATCACAACTCTCTTATATCCGGCGACAATTGACTACATTGTGCTCAAAGTATACTTGACTATATCTTTGAAAACAATTGCCAGTGACATAAGTTTTTGGGCGTATCTCATCGCTGACCACTACTACTATGAGTGCCGGTGGACCGGAACCGACCACCTCTTAGACAGGCCTGACGTTTATACTACCATTGAGTTTGACTGCAGCCGAGACTCTCAGGCATTATTAATAATAATCATTGCATTCATTGTATTCACGATTCAGTCTAATCGCAAGAAGAGGGAAGAAAAGAGGAAGAATTTGAACAATGACAATTTGTCTGTTGATAGTGAATTAAGTCATATTTACCATTGTATAAATTATGATAAAATTAATGAACCAGCAAATGATTTGAAACATGATTATTTAGATATGAATTATAGAGTTGAAAAATGCGATTATATTGATATGAACACTAAATCTAGACACAGCGATTTTTTCGATACAAGGGTTAATCCTATAAAAGGTGTTAGATTAAGTATGTTATTACAAAGTAGTGTGCATAATTTTACCAGGTCAAATTTAACAATCTAATTTTTGTGTGAATTCAATCATTTTTAATTACATCGTGTGATGAATCAATAGTTCAGACTAAACATCACTCCATGTTTGATCCAATTGATACCAAAGACAATATCCAATTGACCTACCCCAATTGTAAATGAATTTAAATGGAGAATTCAGATTTGCATTTATCTATTTAATCATTCAACTTAATATGGTCAATATGTTTTTTAATGTACTGTAATATTTGTAATGTGCTCGTAAATATATTTACTATTACTATAATATTTACAAATAATTAAATACAATAAAAATATAAAGTATAATTATCATTTATAGAGTATAAATATTACGTGTTGTTGTGTTATGTAAAGAATAGTCACAATTTGCATTATGTGCACAATTACTTGCAAACACTTGAAATATTTAGTATTTTTATGTTTTATTATTAAATATTTATTACAATAAACATTTATCAAATAATCAAGGTTTACATTATTTTAAGTGGTTATTAATTCCAAATGTATTCACGTATTGCATAAATATAAAATGTTATGAATTCAACAATTATGACAAAACAGGCAACAAATAAACCGCAGATTAAAAGCCAGAAAACACCCCTCATATCAGACAGTGTTATGCATTTCAAGTCATTCATTGGGTTTGGTTTGTGTTTATCCAGAATATTACGGCCAAACCCCTTGGGTTTCAACGATTTCTTTACTTCATAATCATATATACCGCTCCCCTGAAGGCCAGTCAGTCTACGGTTAAGAATATAATACAATAATTATATATTAATATTATTATTTAGTAGTATTAAAATTAAATTATAATCAATGGACTCATTTCATTAAT